AACCCCCTTCCCCTCCCCCTTTTCTGATGAAGGGTCTAGGCCCGAAACGTCAGCCTCTCTGCTCCTATGATGCTGCTTGGCCTGCTGTGTTCATCCAGCCCTGCACCTTGTTGTCTCTTCTATTTTAAAAGTGCTGATGTTCCTTTTAAAAATAAGTTGCCATGAGGCTCGCATGAACTCTAAAAGTTTTTGAGTTAAGAAAAATAAAAGTTAAGGGTAGTCTAGAAATTCTAGGCTGTTGAAACCTTCACCTGTACCCTGTGAGGCCCTCCCCCACCCCAAATGCATGTTCACAATATATCCTCTTAAAAGTTATGTATGTCGCATAAGTGAGTGGAATTGGGTTAAGTGGTGCTGCAGCAAGCTTGCATTTATATAGCACAGTTAACATAAAATGTTCCATGAAGTGTCACCAGACAAGTTTGACACTCAATATTAGGATAGGTTACCAAAGAGCATTTTAAGGAGCACCTTTAAAAATGAAGACCGAGCCGGTGAGATTCAGGAGAGTTCAAGAGTATGAGGACTAGGCAGCTATAAATATAGCCAACAATGAGGTGAAGGAGATCATGCTGAAAACGAGGATATTGTGTTTGGTCTCTGGATTTTGTTGTTTTCCATGGAAAAAAATCATGTTTGTTCTTTGTGAGCTTGATTTCTTTTTCTGTGTTCTAAATGTTATTTTTGTTTAAGCAATGTCTTCCTACACCTGCATCACATGTCGTGTGGCTTTTGGTGATGCTGAGATTCAGCGGTCACACTACAAAACAGACTGGCACAGATATAACCTGAAGCGTAAAGTAGCAGACATGCCTCCAGTGACAGCTGAAAACTTCCAAGAACGTGTATTGGCCCTGAGGACAGCTGTAGAAGAGAAGAACAAGGGGACTGCTACACACTGCACATCTTGCGGCAAAAGATTTGCCACATTCAATGCCTATGATAACCATTTAAAATCCAAGAAACACCAGGAAGCAGAAAAGAAGTCCGCGAGCATTGCAAGTAAAGAGTTGGAAAGGCTCAATGTGAAAAATTTGGAGAAGGGGTTAAGCAAGGAACAAATGGACAACGATGCCTTGAATCTTGCCATTCAGCAGGCTGTGAAGGCTCAGCTGTCTCCCTCGACGAGGAAAAGGACTGTTGTCCCAGTAACTGAAGACACTGAGCCACAAGTCATAGTTAATAGCAAACAGAACAAGAAGAAGCCTGACAAACCACCTCGGTTACTCTGGTTAGAATGGCAAGCAACAAAATTAGAGCAGCTTGAGTACTTGGAGGAGGAAACGGCGGAGGATGACGATGATGGTAAATAATGAGAAATAAACATCTTGTTTTTGGTTCAGTTTTAACAACTGTCTAGTGTTTCAACCTTCTTGCTTTTTAAGAAATATTCTAATTCCAAAGCTCATTTCTAACTCTAAATTAGCTCATTTAGCAATTCACCAGTGCTTATTTCGATAGAGTAGAGAGTGCACACAAACAAACATACGCTCATACTACTATTATTATGTATATTATTACAACTTTACCAAAATGTATTTAATGTCTTACTGATAAAGGGTAGTATTTGGCAACATCTGATGCTTCTGCAGCCTCAATTACTTTAAATTCCTTTTAAGAATTGCAACTTGTATTTTCTCTCTCAAAGGTGTTCTTTATAATAAATAAATTCAATTCCAGGTAAGTTCTTTGTATGACCGACAAAGAAATTGGGAAGAAAATCCACAACATTGTGCCCAAGTAGGTGGTTTGGTGAGGAACAACTTGTCGTAGACAAGTATTTCTGTAAAATTTCTTACATTTACATTTCTGGAGTCGTTTGTCAAACATGCCAGTGTGGTTGTACGTCAGAGATCATAATGCTATAAATGCTAAACCTTGGATATATTCTTGCAGCATGTCTTCCTTTCCTAATCTTGTTTTATTTTCTGACCTGTTTTATTTATTTTTCACTCAATGGGCTTTGAGAAGCTGGTTCAACAGCTTCATTCTGCTCTATCTTTTTGAGGCATACCTATAGTGATTTCCAGGATTTTGACGCAGCAACTGTGAAGGAACAGTGGTAACCATTTCAACTTAGATTGCAGTGTGATTAGAGAGGAACTTGCATGTGGCACTGCTTCCATGCATCTGCCTTTCTACAGCATACCTTTGTGTCACAAGGCAAAGTTTTTTGCTTAGTTTGACTTTCGAACTTTGTTGCATTGCATTGCACTGCACTCCTGGGCATAATTGTGAGTTTGTTAAATTGATCCACATTTATTTGACTGAGAAAATGTTGCCAACTCTGTATCCACACTTACACGTGTTCTGAGATTTAAATCAAATAGAACACTTCACATGTATTATGTGTTTAAAAATGCCTTTGGTTTGAACTTTGCATTGTTTCTACTAGGTGCATGGGATGATGTGGATTCCCTCTGTGACATAGAGGAGCATTTTAAAAATGAGGAGAGCCGAACTGATAAAAAGCTGAATGAAGACGCACCAACTGGCAGTATTCCAATAACCGACTGCTTGTTTTGCTCACATCACTCTCGATCTTTATTTAAAAATATTGATCATATGATGAAGACACACAGTTTTTTTATTCCTGACATTGAATATTTAGTGGATCTAAAGGGTTTGATGACGTACCTGGGTAAGCAAGAATGAAATACATTTCAACTGTCATCCATAGAAAATCAATAATGCCTAACTTTTAACAAGGCAAACTATACAGGAAGATTAAATAACGTTGCTTCTGAAAATTCTGATGTGACAATTAAAACCAGTCATGTCAACTGAAAGGGTGCATTGAATCTTCACGTAGTGACCGACCTAGTGGGACATTACTTCTGCAGAGATCACTTGATCTTCTTTTACTTCTAACAGTACAACTAAAATTCCTTTCCCAGCTGTGTTACTATGGAAAATTATCAAGCAAAGTTAGCATAAAAAGAAACTTAAACTCGTTGGCACAGCACTGA